CGCGAGCCGGAGCTGGCCGCCGCCGCGGCTCACGACGTCGACGGCCGTCGCGTCCATGCGCATGTCCGCGCGGTGGCGCTGGATGTCCGTCAGCGCGTCGTTGATGAGCGAGATCGTGATGAGGAACATCAGCGGGCCGAGCGTCGTGTAGGACGTGTAGGGAGAGTTGAACGCGCCCGTGACCTCCGCGAACATCATGAGCATGCCGTTGAGCAGAAAGTAGAGGTTCGCCACGCGCCGGAACTGGGCGAAGAGGGCCAGCGGCAGGAAGTTGAGCAGGGTGAACTTGGCCGTCACGAGGCGGTTGTGCGGCGCGTGGCCCGCGTTGGAGGCGCCGATCTTCACGAGCCGCGTCTTCACGCCGCCGGCGCCGCCCATGGTCGCCGCGCCGGTGGCCGCCGGCAGCACCAGCACAATGGTACCGCCGGCGGAGCCGCCCGCCCACGACGACGGGGGCGGGCGTACAATGCCAGGGCAGCAGTGTCGGCGCGTTTTTTACGCCGCGCCTTGACGCTGGTAGTATCAACGTCAACGCGACCGCGGTGCTAGGTTCCACTTTACTTAAAAACCTGCGACGGTCCGGGGGCAGGTTTTTCGGGTTTTACTTTGACGGTGATTCGCCGCCGGCGAGTTTACTGCCGGGCCGGTTTTTCGGCGGCCGAGAGGCCCTTCAAGCCGTGGCGTCCCGCGTACTACGCGGCGCGCGTGACGCGCGGGAACGACCGAAATCAACTCTGCTTCATTGGCGCGGATATTACGGCGCTTCGCGGTTCCTCCTGCGAGGACGGCGCTGGTTGTGTAGGGGCTTGGCAGCCAGTTATATCGTAGTTTACTTCAAGTTGAGGTAAAACTTTACTTCAATTTACCACAGAAACTCGCCGTTTCCCGCAACTAGCGGCGCCGGCAAGTCGAGTTGCGGCAAACGAAAAACCTGCGACGCCTCCGGCAAAGCAAGTAAACCTGCACCTGCCGGCGAATTACGGCAGTAAAGTGGAACCTAGCCGCGGTGCCGACCGGGTGAAGCGGGGCCGTCGAAGCGCGCGACTTCGAAGCGCGCGCCCGCGGTCGGACCCCCGTACGACGCGCGACCCCCCCCCGCGGGCTCGCCCGTCCGCGCACCGGGCCCCCTTACGTCCGCGCGCCGCGGGCCGCGGGCCGCCCTAGAAGAGCCGCGCCGCGGTGTCGTTGGCCAGCTTGAAGAGGGCGAAGGTGCCGCCGACGATCGCGAGGAGGGACGTGAGGAAGTCGTACCACTTGACGCGGACCGTGTCGACGACGACGGCCATGGGCGAGATGTCGTAGGAGAAGCGCGCCTCCGGCGGGACGTGCTCGGCGTACTTGAGGAGGTGGTGGCTGTGGAGCGTCTGGAAGGCCGCGAAGCGGTCGCGCCAGAAGACGCCGAGGTTGTACTTCGTGGGCACGATGTGGACGAAGTGCTGGTAGGCGTAGTGGTAGTCGTCGTGGTAGTAGTCCTCGCCGTCGAGCGTGTCCGTGCGCGCGTGGCGCACGTCGATGGTCGCGAGCTTGCGGTGCTGCGCGTCCGTGAGGGGCACGCCGAAGCT